TGAACAGACTTCGGCTCATCCCACCAACTTTGGCCACTTCTGCAGTCGTTAATCTGGGATCCATTTCTATGCTCCTCTTGACAGCCCTTTTTGTCCTCTCCGATAGACCCAGACGCTGTTAAGTTGTTTCCTCGCCGTGTTTCCTGAACTGCACAATGATTCTGTTGACTATCGAAAGCGGGATTCCCAAATTCTGCGAAATTTGCCGCTGACTTACTCCACCATCTGCTTGACTAACTGTCCTTCCTCTAACAAAATCTGACAATTCGAGAGAACCTTGAGTTCTAGGCATGTTGTAGCACAAGATAATTAGTTAGCATAAATCAGTTAACTGACGAAAAATTAGGTGTCTATCTACTTGTGACCACTTAGTGTAGACACCCCTCTGTAATTCTAGGGTTAAGTAGGAACTTTCGGCTTTCTCTCTAAAAGATCTCCAGTGTAAAACAATACTAACTATAGTTTTACAGCAAGAAATATCAAGAATACCTATTTTCAAAGTGGAATACTAACATTAAAATATGGTCCAAATTCAGCAAGTACTATTGAAGAAATGTTTCCCTATTTCAAATAGGAAAGTACTAACATTAGTAAATAGTGCCCATTATACACTGAATAGCAATAATTTTCAATAAATACTTCCGATTCTAAACAGGAAAACAGCACTAATTTTCAAGAAATGCCGAATTCCCTGCCTTAGATAAAAACATTACTAATTTTAAAAACATGTTTTGTTTTTAGCTAAGAGAGAACGGTGCTAATTAAAGGGACTAATTAAAGAAATTTTCCCTCTTTTTTTTACGTAAAGAGCAATAATATTTGAAACAATAATCTGGATGTTTTCATAGGATAGTCAAAATGTTGACTAAATGATTTCCTGTTATGTTTAGAAGAGCCACTAATCTTCAAGAATTTTCTCTTTTGTTTACAGAAAAAGGCACTAATTTTCGTGAAGTAAAGGGTATATATATATATATTTTACATAAACAATTCTTAAGATATTGCTTTACACGATACAAAGAATACCGTAATGAAAAAACCTTCTCTAATGTACTTAAAATAGTGCTAATATTCGAAACAAACTATTCGCCATTTTCCACAGGAAATTTCTAATTTCAAAAAAAAATCTTCCTTTATTATACAGAACAGCTATAAATTTTAACATAAAGTTTCCTATTTCACAAAGAATGCAGCAAATTGTCAAAAAATGGTTATGTGTTTTGCATAAAATAACACTAATATTCGAGAAATTTATTTTATATTTTAGGATATCGCTAATGTTACTTAAATTGTTCTTTGTATATATATATAATAACATAAAACAGTTCTAATATTCGAGAAATATAATCTCTATCTTACATAGCATAGCCTTAATTTTAATCAAACGGTCTTTCTATCTTACACGGAAAAACACTAAATTTCAAAAAATGTTTCGGATTTTACTGGAATTTTGACAGTTTTCGAGAAACTGTCCCATTTCACAGAATACAGCAATATTTTGAAAACGAAACTGGTTTTGAAGAACTGCAAGATTTCCTACTTTACATAAAACAATATTAATTTTCAAGACCGGACTTTCTATTTTAGAAAGAAATGGTTCCGTATTTTGCATAAACACCCCTTGTATTCGAAATATTTGTTCATTGTTTTACACAGGTTACACTAATTTTGTAAAAACGGTCCACTATTTTTGATGTAAAGCAACAGTAAATTTAGAGAAATATATATAATATTTTCATTCATAAAGAGGCGCTAACTCCCAATAAATAGTTTCCTGTCTTACAAAAAACACCAATTTTCAAGAAATGATTCCACATTTTACTTAGAACGTCTCTAACTGTCTAGAAATATTTTGTTTGTTTTCACATAGCAAGTCGCTAATTTTCAATAAATAGTCTCTTCTTTGCATAAAACAGCAATGACATTTTATTCTTTTACAAAGAAAGGTACCATATCTGAGAAATGCCAGGTTTTCTAATTTACAAAAACAGAATTAATTCTTAAAACAACGCTTCCTATTTTAGAAAGAAAACTACTCATTTTCAAGAAATGGTTTCAAATTTTATATAATTTGTTTGTTTTGAATTTCGCGCAAAGCTACACGAGGCTATCTGCGCTAGCCATTCCTAATTTAGGAGTGTAAGACTAGAGGGAAGGCAGCTAGTCATCACCACTCACCGCCAACTCTTGGGCTACTCTTTTACCAACGAACAGTGGGATTGATCGTCAAATTATAACGCCCTCACGGCTGAAAGGGCGAGCATGTTTGGTGGGACGGGGATTCGAACCCGCGACCCGCAGATTACGAGTCGAGCGCCCCAACCACCTGGCCATGCCGGGCCCATATTTTATATAAAACAGCTCTAATATTTGAGAAATATATTCCATATTTTACATAGCATGGCCCTAATTTTAAGTAAACGGTCTTTTGATTTTACCTGGAACAGTACTAAATTTCAAAAAAATTCTTCGGATTTTACTGGAATTTTTCCGGTTTTCGAGAAATTGTTCCATTTCACAGAAGACAGAAATATTTTTAACCAAAAATCTTGATTTTACAGGATATAGCAGCGATTTTGATCAGTTTATCATGATTGAATAAGTAAAAGCGCTAAGAACATAAGAACTAACCAAGATTTAACCCAGGAAAACATCAATTTTTCCGCAGTGGCGACTTTTTATGCCTCAAGTTTCAAGAAATGGCCCGTGATTTACTATGGAAGCCCTAATTTTCAAGATTTGTAATGCATTTTACGCGCAGCAATAATTATCCCAAAGTTATTAATGACATAAAGTATGAAACTTCGAACATCAAGAATTGGAACTAATTTCACAAAGAAAGGTATTGCATTGTTCTTCTGAGAGTTAATTTCACGTCATTCCAGGCTTTTCTTTCCTTATCTGTTTAGGGATGAATAAGTTTACGTCTTTTTATCATTAACATGTCTACTTCAACAACAATGGGTTATTACTTGTGTTTGTTCTTATGCAATAACGTCTTCAAGGCCTATTACTGTACACACACATGGTATAGTTTATGAACTGCGCCGCCTGATGGAGGCATACCGCTGATGAAATTATTTTTGTTGAGAAATAAAACTGTTTTTGATAAAATAATAATAAAAAAAACATGTAGGAAATAACGTTGATTTTAAATAGAAAAGCTGTGGTTTTCAAAAGGTGTTCATGATTTGACATTGAAAATATTTTTACGAAGCAGTGGCAATCTCAAAGAGAAATGCTCTTATTATTAGAAATTGGTTTATTTGCAAAGTACAAAAAAACAACAAAAAACATTAATACTCAAGAACTTGTTTCAATGTTACATCGAAGGTTATTAAACTACAAAAATCTCCTGCTGAACAAACATTCATGAACAAGTCTTCATCCAACATGAAAAGAATAATCACTGGCACCCTTTCTGCTGGATAATGGGTCAATAAATTGTTGTATCTCGAAACCATTTTATGCTGTTGTACAACACAAAAGTTGACAACCATTAGCAGCGTTTGTGCACCATTGTAAGAAAGGCACTTTCTTGAGTCCTAAAGTGATATTTTCGTTATTCAAATACTTCACTAGAGGAGACCAGATACCAAGTGACCAGCAATTTGTTGCTTTAGCTCTCTTACTTGGAAGGGTCAACTTTTCGTTATTAGAAATCTCTCTCTCTCTCTCTATATATATATATATTTCT